GGGAATTCATGGACAGTAAAATTGGCGCCCACAGTTGGCGCCAGTAATAAAAACAGCAATACATAAGTTTCAAATTAATTAGCTTGTAATTAACATTAACTTATGGGACAACTAGTACATCTTTACACATGAAAAGTAAAAATAAAGAATTTTCTACTGAATGGTAGTAAGTAGAGAAAATATAGAAATCATTCATATCTGTGAGCACGAGTGTGGTAACAAAAAATGGCGACGCGTTGTTGTTTAATTTTTCGCTTCCTCGCACACAATAAGTATTTATATCACAGGCTGGTCACTGGCCACGCACACAACTTATATTAGTTATACTTTTTTTTATTTATAATCATGAGTTCAAAATTTTATTAATACCTATTAGTTCGACTATCCTATTATACATGTATATGTTATATGTATTATAAATGTGAAAGTTTCTAAGAATGTATGAATGTATTTATGCTATTCTTTCACGCAAAAACGGTTGAGCCGATTTTTTGCAATTTGGTAAATACCCTGATACCCTGGATTAACAATCAGGGTGCTTTTTATTAACATACCACGCGGACGAAGCCGCAGGGCGAAGCTAGTACCTAGTAAAAATTGAAAGACTCCAACTTCTTTGTATTTAATGTGAGTTGAAGATTTTTTTATTTATAAAAACAATAATGAAATATTTTATGTTATAACAAACTCGTACCTAATTACCTAGCAAGTAATTAACAATCAAGGAATTTTACCTGTCGAAAATACCAAAAATTTCATCGAAAATCATAACATTATTAAATTTAATTAATTAATATACGTAGAAAACTTGCAAAAAGTCCGTAGTAACAATAGAGCGCCGACGGCTGGAACTTACAATAGGTCTTTCCGTACCTAAATACGAAAAGAGCGGGAAAATTACCCAAATCTCATTTCTCTCATTAAATAATTACTCTCAGTTAAATAGTTTGTGCACAGTTTAGATAGGTACTGGAGTTACGCCACAGTAATAAGTTAGAGCTAAAGAACTGTAGTTTCCGGCCATGCATTAGAAATTAAAGCGAAAGCGCTAACTGTATTTTTCAATTACGGCCACGTCGAAGAGTTTAAAATTACTGTAGTCGGTCTACGTTCTCATACCTATGTATTTCAAGTATTCGATCATATCAGGGCCGTTTTACTGCTTCATTTATTTATGACTTATCTAATTATTTAATAAGTTTTTCGAAGCCTTTATTTACTAAGTACTACTTTATACATATACGAACATAAATAAATAGCTACTTACATCTTTTTTACAGTTAAAATGTGTACGTTTATATAACGCAGGAAATAAAGCCACGTGATTTTTTTTTCTTTACAAGTAAAGAATTGTCGTGTTAAAACTTACCACGTAGACTGAAATGGCACTGAAACAACGCACTCGTAAGTGCCCCTCTCCGGTAGCAGTACAACGCAATAATCGTACTTATGCAAACGGTAGCACTAGGAGCGCGTCCCGGGCTCTCTTGTGTCACCTCCACCAAGAGTCCCCATCGGATAAATAATTCTACTCGCGCTTATCCACTTCAACTAGTACTAAATTACGTTAGTAGTGGGTGTCTCACCGCTCGCCCCTCGGTGCATCGTACGATACGACACAGCGACCTGAGCACTTTTTGCTAAGTCGAGTCAGTTAGTTGACCTATCTGCAAAATAGTATTAAAGTGCACTCACAATGTATGTGAATGTGCTGAAAGCTAACAGCGTCTGTTCTCTGTTATTTTGTTGAACAACAGCGAGCTTTTCGTTTACGAATTATTTAAAAATGTTCTATTTATTTTTAAATGGGTTTTATAAAATATATACTCTTAATATTTTGTCTGTGCCCTACCCTGTCACCTATTGAACTCACCAACCACCGTCATCTTAGTAGAATATTATGTTTCATCAGCAAAGCAAAAGTACCTACATACGTATTATATTTCCTCAATAAGCCAAACCTCACCCGATACTTTCGATGGCAGAATTCTTGAAAATATTTGTACCTGCCCGCCGAACCGAGGTATTTCAATAAAGCCAAGATGATTTTAGTCATTTATCTCATTGCGGCGGTGGTTAAAGGAGATATATGTTACTAAACCCGATTACCCCCTGGTGCTTCCCTTGTGTTCAAAGTGAATGTATTGGAGCGGAATGTTCCACGTCAGAGGTAAAAGCAAGTATTCATGTTTAATTTCATCCTGTATGAGAGCATGTAAAAAATCTTTTATCTGGACCCGAATTCCTAACAAAGAATTGTTTTATAAGTATCTATCTAAGTACCTTGATCTTCTCATAGACCGTGTATTTACTTTTAAGTATACATAGGTTGAATATTTCGATTTGTTTTGAAATATGTAAAGACATTTTATGGATTTTCATCATAATTAATTAAAAAAAATTATATATTAAAAAGCAGTGAAAAATGGTATAACCATTCTTCACTGCTTTTAATTCATTCAATTATATGAATTAACAGTTACTTAGGTAATAGTTTTTAATTGTAAAAAAATAGTTGATAAGCTGATATTTTTTCATCTATACGTAGATTGATATGTAAGTATACAGAATACAGGCGATTGGTATAATGATAGAGGTCCGAGACTGCCGTGAAAGGAGTCAAGCGTTCAAACCCGACTCTCGTGCAAGACAAAAAATACCTGACTTTTTATTTTACATTTCAATTGCCATTAGAAGCTTATAGATAACCGTTAAATCCGTTGTTGTTTACCTACGTAATGTGTTTAGACGAGCAAGATATCGCTTTTATTGATACAATATCACTACATAATATACTTAGGTACAACAAAGTCACTTTCTCCATCCGGATTTTGATGCGGTTCTTTTTAGATAGAGGGATTGAAGAGAAGGTTTCTATGTACCTACTATATATGTATAAACATTAATTAAAGTCCGAAGCTGGGGTACGTCGCATATTAACAAAATATAAATAATGTTTAGATATGAGCCCTCGGTTATATTAACTAGTTCTGTAGTAATACTCATCTGCACTTATGTGTAGATATACATAATACTAATAAATAATAACTAGGTTGGGAAAAAGTTACTACTCATTTTTTTTAATTCTTAATTCAAAACATTTTTTTAATTCTATAAATGCGCCAAAACTGTTTTTTCCAGTTTTTCAGCTATGTCGTAGGTATCTACTGATAAGTAATATATCGAACTTGCGCATGTTCCACTTTTTCAAAAATGGCATGCATTTTGACCGCCCCTTCGTGCATCTTTGAGATCTAATCTCACAGGTTCTAGGTCAATTTATAAACAGACAAGATGTTTATAAAATCTCTCTAAAATTTATCGAATTTCTTCATTAGATCCACTCATCTTGACGGAACCAAAAGCAAATGAAAGAAAATAACACATTATCGAAATTTTAATTTAGAATTATGTTCTTTAAGATTTAAACTTTCATTGATACCATGACTAACCAGATACAAATATATCTATATGTATTTACTATAACATTTTTACCCAACCTAATATAACAAAGCAATTGTTTGTTAATACAAAACTTCACGATCACACGATTCTGTTGCGAAACAAACGAACTATTGTAATCCTGATTGTGCGTGCCACACTGTAGGGAATTAACAACTTAGATTGGTACACCGCCGCTAATAAGACCAACTCTTTTATCCCGCTACCTTTTCAACTGTTTAAAAAGCTTTACACGCCACGATTGCAGGCGGCGTCATTCGTGTTCATGAATTGCAATTCACACTTTTTAATACCCATAAATCTAAATGCCTTGAATAAGGTAGCAAATTATAATATGTAGGTAATTTAAATTGGTTCTTACATAGAAAAGCGGGAATGGAGTGGCAAAAGTGGTAGTGTCATCAGCGTATCGCGCGTTTCAAAATCTTGCATCCGCCTATCACAATACGTTCGTTCCAGTCTTCCAGAGAGAGTCGCGTAATAGCCATCGCCTCGTCGTAGTTTCCTAAAACGGTGCGCGAGGTACTGGTGTGCCCACATCCAGTACAGTTCTCCACAGTGTTGCCCATTTTACCTACTTGAACGTGTTAAAGCAATCAATAAAGCAGGCAGGAGGGAGTATAGGCTCTTACGAATTAAAAGCCCCCCGTTCCTTCTCCAGCTTCTCCTGCTCTAGGCCGAGACCGCGGTGCCATATTACGCTTACCCCGCAACGCGGGCTGGACAACAGCCCTAAAGGGCACCGTCTGTGTTGATCTATTGTCTTTTTGAGGCGCGCGCGGAACGCAACGATTTCCGACGCTGGGAGTGTTGCATACTACGGCGGCTGGGGCGTTAGGAGGAGGATAGAACCTTTAGAGGAGGAGGATAGCACCCTTTAGAGGATGAGGATACCTCCTTCTTAGAGGGAAAATTGCTAAGCAGAAAGATGAGCCGGCTTCCCAGATTCTCTCACTCTGCACCATGGCCTCGACTAAAGCAAGAAGTCGCCGCGGCCAATCACATCCCTGAGCACACAGCGGTGCTCAGCCCAAGCAGGGCAAACTGTCACGTATTACCTATATACAATACAATAATCATCTGCATTACATGATGCCGGCAAATAACTAAAGAAATTTCAAATATTAATTATAAATAGTAAGGCCATTCACACTGGCCGTTTATACGGACCCATTGAGTGATCCAGAACTCCCACTTTTTTTTCATATATTTGTTCACTTCCACACTGCCTCGCTTTCACCACGCGTTCCCGATGGCGCCCCTCCGCAATCTGGGGCGAAAGGCATTTGCGTGTTTTGCCTGGCAATTAAACTAAATTATTGGCCCATAACGCCTATTATGACCAACTCTTACTTTGATCAAGGATGGGCTTAAAAGCACAAAGGTTTATAAATAAAATGAAATACGATTTTTCTCTTACTTAATAACTTAAATCACATAAAATCGACTAAAATGTTTTCGTCACTAAACCATAAACTAACTCAGCACAAATGTCATTCACGTCAACGTCTGTGTCTGTGTTATCAAGAGAATGTCAAATTGAAATACAGATTATCACTGTCACATTCACATTATCACCGAATAAATTAATTGAACTGGAATTACCAAAAAAATACCATCGTATTATAACAGAAACTGGAATATTACTCATTTAAAATGCATTTACAATCATTTGCTGTTATTTTGTCTCTCGGTTTAGTTAATTATGCGGTAGTTATTTTGCACTATAACTTTATTTTATTTACAGTATGATGAACACTTTTGCTATAATAGTTTCCACTTTCAGGCTTGCATTGATTATGATGGATGGCTGAATATTAAAATAGAACATTCTCTGAATTGTGGCACTGAAAAATATTGCCCAAGGGGAAATATTGCACTAAAGAGTATTCGAGCGGGTGCTGCAGTAGTAGATCAAATACATTTTAATAAAGGACATATTGAAGCCTTAAAGGTATTTATAACTTAAAATCAATGAAAATTGTGTAAGGGGTCTCAAGCCTAATATGTAAAAAAATTTACTACTAACACTAACACAATTTAGTGTGTTTGTAAATTATCATTATGCATAAAAACCTATTTATTCCTATCACTCATAGTATCTACTAATGTCTCAAGAACAACACTATGTCTGATAGAGGCATGTTTTACGTAAAATCATTGTTATATTTCAGAATTTAGCTGAAATTGATAGTTTTTATACTATCCGGACATTGGTAACATCTGCTGAGAATAGTAAAGGAACAGAATTCTTTTCATCAGTCAAAGCCAGAGCTTTCTTGGGCAATGGTCTGTCAGACGTGATCAATGCTTGGGTGCTGCCCAATGGGGCCGTGATTTCTGTCAGTTTCCAAGTAACTAATGCTTCACAACCATTGTCTTTGGAAAGTGGAACTCAAAAGATCAACTCCAATTTCTATCTACGCTATGTTGAACAGGCTCCAGTGTAAGTATAATTTTTAGATAATAAAACAGAATTGATAAAAGTTGTATGGTGCACTTATTAAAACTTCTACAACAAAAATCTTTCTTACAGGCCTGATACAGCCACATACATTCAAAAATTGGAACGTGAAAGAGAAGCTAGGGAAAAGGGAGACCTAAAGGACAACAAATCATTCTTAGCTAAATATGTAAGTTACCATGTTATATTGGAAAACACTAAGTTAGTTAGTTAGTTAAGTTAAAAAAAATTGTAGTCCACACTTCTTAAACATGGCAAAACTTATGCTTTTTTAATATTGGCCAACACTTGGAATAACACCTATTTTGAGATCCTCTTATCATGGAATACTCATATTTTAACCCTTTTACAAACATACAATGTTCCAACTTAATCAAAGTCAATAAAAGTATCAAAGGCATGGTTATTTACAGCATGTGTGCATATTTTTTTTCTTATTTGTTTCAGTGGATGTACATTGTACCTATTGCAATATTTGTAATGATATCTGGAGCAAGCAACCCTGAACCGGCGGCCCAAGGAGCCCGATAAATAATTATGTATTACAAATTGATCACTATTACCAAATAGTCAATGTATAAAAGATATTTATTCTTTAGATAACACAACTTTAGATTAGAAGTAAAATAATCTTTTTTTATATTAAGTGTGCTTCAGTGTACCCATTGGTCATCAGAATTTTCCAGCTTTCCTTATGATTAGACAAAGATCATGTTCAACCAAAACCATAATTAACAATTTGTGATAGGGTATATGGGATATGAAGTTATCTTTAAGAAATAAATTATTGATAACACAAACTGAGTACTCATTTAAATACAAGGTAATATGAAACAAACATAGTACAAAATTACTTATTTAATTAATTACCAAATATAATCTTGTTACTGTAACAATGTAAGACTTAAACTTAGTATGAAGCAAAATTTAACATGTAGATAACAAAACCTTATGCACCAATTTTCTCAATTTCTTCAGCATCTTCAATGTCCAACAACTGTATCTTTTTACCAAAATGACCTTCTATTTCCTTACAAATATTCATTGCTTGTGCAGAATCAATTAAATTAATGGCAATACCAGCTTTACCAAAACGTCCTGTGCGACCTATTCTATGCAAATATGTTTCACAGTCAGCTTTCTTGTCCATGTCCATAGGCATATCAAAGTTTACAACCAGTGTCACTTGTTCAACATCAATTCCTCGAGACAATACATTTGTGGTGATCAATACTTTTTCCAAACCAGCCCTGAAACGGTCCAGCACAGCTATTCTTTGTTCAACAGTTAATTCACCAGATAGTACGGCTACAGAATGTCCATCTTCAGACATTTTGACTGATAGCCAGCTTGCAGTTTTTCTTGTGTGGCAAAATATAATAGCCTGACCAATTGTTATGACACCATATATATTGCAAATGGCTCTATACTTTTCATCTGCATTTTTGCATTTGACATAGTACTGCTTAATATTATCCAAGGACTCCTCTTCACGTAACAGTCTTATTATAATAGCATTGGGAACAATCATTTCAGCAAACTCCATGACAGCAGACCCATATGTTGCCGAAAAGAACATCATCTGGCATGTTGAGGGCAAACATTTGTGAATGCGAATACATTGATCTTGGTGACCCTGTCTATCAATCATAACATCAGCTTCGTCCAGTACAAATACACGAACTTTAGACATATCAAACATGCCAAACTTCACACCCCAATCAAGCATTTTCCCAGGTGTCCCAATAATAATATGATCAGTTATCTTAGTGCCTCGAGGCACCTCCTCACCTCTTACAGCATACTTCAGTTTAATCTCAGGACAGAACTTAGCCATTTTGGCAGCCACTTCTCCAGTTTGTATGGCTAGTTCGTAAGTAGGACTTAAACACAACACTTGCGGATAATTCTTAGTAGGATCCACTCTGCTTAACATGGCCAGCACAAAAGCTGCCGTTTTACCAGTACCTGACTGAGATTGAGCAATCATGTTTTGTGGAGGATCAGCTAAAAGGGTAGGCAAGGCAGTTTCCTGGATCTTTGAGGGAGCATTAAAACCCATTGCATATACTCCTTTTAGTAAGTTGGGTTTTAAGTGTAAAGCTTCAAAGGTTTTGACAGAATATAAAGGAGAATTAGGATCTTTTCTTTGAATTTCAATATCTAATTTAGACTCAACTAGACCTTGCCTTATTATTTTCATCAACAGAGATGTGTCTGCTGGGTTAGCTGTGTCGGGAGAGTCATCCGAATCTGCAGTCTGATCCAGAGGTTTTTTATTCAGACCCAATCCAGCTACTTTATTTGAAATCTCCAAGTCCTCTACTTTTTGTCCCCACTGATTGGCCATCTTGTCTAGAAAAACACAGGATAAATAAAATTATTAACAGTAAAAAACACGTTGTAACATGTTTGCTGTAATAAAGTATTGTTTAGGAAAGTATTATGACTAGCACTCCTATTTTGAACAGTATAACAACCTGCAATATGAACTAGTTTAGAGATTTATTCCGTCAAGACATTAATTACTTTCAGAAATTAGTAGAAATAGCGTCAGTGTTGACGTGCAAGTCACGTAAACTAAGTTTTCCTGCAAAAATGCCTTTGTTTGACTACATTAACAAACCAAAAGTTGCTACTAAAGTAGGTACATTAGACCGCCGTAAGTTACACCGAGAACAGATACATTATTAATTATTCTTACCTTTTGATAATATACTGAATTGAAAGTAATAATTATTTCCAAACGACCATGCGAAAAATCTTATTAACCGACCAATAAGAACCACACTTTACCAATAACCAGTAAGTGCCGCCAGATTTTAATACGTCATGTGTCACTGAGTCACTCACTGTCAATGTCATTCAATATTTCAATAAAGAGAAAGTGTTGTCCATAGAGTATACACTTATTTGGGTACTGTTGTAGAACAAAATATTTTTTTTATTTCAGACGACAATCTTTAAAAAAAAAGAAATTCAAAGCTGTTTAGTGACAGCTTGTATTTGACATTGACAGTAATGTCAGTGTTGTGAATTGGTGAATTCTAAGATATCCACCTAACCTAAAAACTCTTGTTTCAGGCTCTTAAATAAGTAAAAATAAACTAAATTTGAAATAAAATAACCCTGAAACATCTTAATATGTTACGTAATTACAGAACACTTTTTTTCAAGAATAATGTGTGTCCAATTATCATACATAAAAAGAACTTTTTGTCCAAAGAATACAAATGCACAGAAGCTTGGAATAATATGAACTCGTCGCCTATATTTAATAAGGTCAATGTTCATGATTTCTACAATGTGCTTGATCAAAATTATTCTTCTAAAGGTGTTTTGAGTGCCATAGACGTTGATATATTCGCGAACGCAATCAAAGATCAAAGCCACCTAGAAGAGCTTAAGGATCTACTGCATAAACTCAGAACGACAGCAGAAACCGGCAATATGTTAGAATCAACTCAACAAGCTACTATACGAAACTTCATGGAGTTTGGTGATATAAAGGAACTGGTAGAAATATTAAAGGATCCACTTAACTTTGGTGTTTTCTTAGATGACTATACTGCAAATATGCTACTGGATAAATTGATAACACTAAATAACTTTGAACTTGCTGCAAGGGTAGCTTCTTTAGTAATGCTGCAAGAAGAGTTCAGTCATGAACTAACTTGTGCCTTGTGCCAGTATGCTTGCTACAAATATATCACAACTTACACACCAACATCATCAGAACCTGCCCCACCTGAAGAGAAACCCAAAAAAGTTGAAGAAATTAAGATTAGAGTTAAATTTGTTCGAAATCCATTCTTTGATGATCATTTTGACATCAAAGATACTCTTTTACTATCTGGCAAAACATTAGCATGGATTTCAGAAAGAGCAGATAACAATTTAAACAACAATCTACAAATTATTGGATGGCTTAAGTACAAGAAGTATGATAAACTAGCTGCTTTCAGTCAGAAAATCAGCAATGAGAAATCATTTAAAGTGTTCAAAGAGGTTATAGAAGTTTTGGAAAAAGAAAGTTCTGATGTTGAAGCAGAATTCAAACCTATTTTAGAAAACTGTATCTCAACTTTAAGTAAAGCTGAACAGAATTCACAAGCATCTTTAGAAGAGGCATTAAAAATTGCTATTGAGAATGCCATCAATAAATCACACAAGAATGATGTTTCACAGCAAAAGAAGGTGATTATGATGAAACATATTTCCATAAGTCTTATTTTTGGTGGACTAGATATCCTAACTCAAAAAATTATCACTATAACAGTTTAAAATATTAGATTTGCATAGCACTCATTACATAACTAATGTGTTATTTAATTATAAAAGTTAAATGTGGTAAGTACTTGTAATTTAAAGGAATCTTTTTTATTTATGTTTTAGCTATTTGAATCTTGGGCTGAAATAAGAGAACAAAAGCTTCAAGAACAAGCTCAAAGGCTGGATCGGGCACGCAGGATTCAACTTATTCAACAAAAGCAAAGTGAAATGCAACAACAAGAGCAGAAATTATGGTTCTTTGAGAATGAGGACAAAATTGATCTTGAAATAGAAGAAAAAGAAAAACTTGTTGACAACACTGTGACAAAGAAAGCAGTAAGCAAAACAACAGATGAAGATTATATACCACCTGAGATTCTACCAAAAAGGAAGTAGAAATATAAGATGCTAGAATAAAATGTTAGATTACATAGTTGTTTATTTTATTGAGCATTTTTACAATATATTAAAATTTTAACATAATTTACGCAAGATATATTAATTACTATATTATTTGATACAATACATTTAATATGGAATGCTACTTTTAAATGATGGCCAAATGTACATAAATAAATGCTTAAGCTTCTTCCTGGATTCTTGTAAGATCAAGCTGTATTTTCCTCAGAGTATCTTCAGTTCTCTTTGCAGTCTCAGTCTTAATATTTTCTTCTAAATCAACTATATCCCTGGCCAAAGTTCCAGTGTCATTTACAAGGGAAACAATAGTATTGCACTCAGAATGTAAAAGAGCTAAAAGTTTATATGCCTTTTTTGCTTGGTCATCCTTTTTAGCATCCTGAAAATACACATTAAAATTATATAGAAATATATATTATATTACATTGTACATGATCAAAATCTAGTTGACTAGTCAGAGAGAAGGTGCGGATGCTCAAATACCTTTCTAATCACTTTTGAAAGAGAAATCTGACTGCAAAACAAATATAAAAGCAAGTCACACTTATAGATGGAAAATGTAGTGGAAATCCATAAAAAAATACTGACCCGAAAAAGAGTTTCATCTGCTATAGAAAAGCATCTGTCCAATTGTCCTTCCAAAGTATTTATTTCTTTTTGTAATTGCCTTGTATCATCTAATATCTTCTTTATTTCCATGTTTTGTTTATCAACATTGCTTATAATTTCCATAATACGTTTTGTATAAATTGATCTGAAATTAAGATAATTTAAAGTTCTATGTACACACTGAATTAAATAGGTACTAAAACATATTGAAGTTGATGACATAAATCCTTTGGAATGCTAGAAATAGGAGTGTTTTTGTGCAAACCTTTTGTTGCCACCTCTCAGCTTTCCATAACTTTCCTTTAGTTGACTACCCAAGACTTCTTTCTTTTCACATTCATCTTTCAGCGCCTTTGCTGTTTCTTTCAAAGTGGTTAAAATCTTTTTGCATCTGCTTCTTTCAGACTAAAATATCATAATTTTTTTTTAAACAATTGTTTGAATTTGTTTTATACACAAAAGTGTGGGAGAGCCAATCTTCACTTGTAAAAAAATACAAAAATTAGTAAATTTTTTATTAGAAGTACAAAAAAGTGACACAAACCTCCATCATATCCATACTGCTGGCAATTTTGTCAATTTCAACCATTAGAGAAAGGTTTCTTGAAGTTAATTCCTCACTCTGCCTGTGAAGGCTATTAATGTTCTTTTGTACTTTTTCTATCAAACCATCTGTCACACCATCAGCATCAACATCAGTGACCCCAATACTTGTCAGAATATTCTGGACATTTTTCAGATCTGCTTCAGCCCTTTCATATGCTTTTTGTACCTGTAACATTGTTTAATGCTTAACTTTAAATGAATTATAATAAGATCTAATAAACTTACTATAGGATATATTGATAAATAAACGAATTTAGTTTGATTTTAAATAATATAGCAGATGTGATAATATATTGATAAATATAAGTTACCTGGGAGTATTCAACTTCCATAACATTTTTTTCACTCTCTAGTGTGTCCAATTTCTGTCTCAGTACAATGGCCATTTCCTTCAACTCTTTAAGAGTCTTGTTTGGATCTTGTTTTACTTCAGCCTTTTCAATAGCAGTCTCCTGATCATTACTTGGTTGCTTGACTGATTCACTGGACTTAGAAACACTTGTTTTGCTTAGCTCTTTTATTTTTAGCAACTTTTCTATTACCTGTTCATCACTCAAGCTTATTTGACTATGTGAGGTATTCACACCTGCAAAAAGTTATGGCTCCTTACTTTTGTCATTATATTTTTCAATCATGTTTCAAGTGTTATAATATAAATTTAGGAGGCTTTAGAGCTATAGGCTTTTATATGTCTATGCTATTTTATAGGTCCACATGAACAACCCACTTGCCTAGTAAACATATAAAACTAACTATAGCAGTGGAAAGGTCATTTAGAAGTAAACAATTATTACCTATGGTACTAAAGTCCCCAATCCTATTAGAATTAGGTTTACAACAGGGTGGGATCCAAATAGATTTTAATTCTTCACCAATTTTGTTGCTGATGTCTTGTTTGAGCAATGATTTCTTGTTTGCAGAAGGCAGGGTGACAGATACCTGTTTACCTTCATTTGGTAGCCTTTCAATTAAAAACATAAACACTTGTCTTAGCTCACATTCATTGTGGTACAGAAATGTTTGATAACCTACATCATTCTTATAGCCTAAATCCTGTAATAGAAAATTCAGTGTAAGGAAAAGTATTTTACACAACCATTAAAATTTGTCTTTCAAATTATGTTACCTTGCAAACAGATGCAATTTGAGAAGCAACTTCTATTCTATGAGATATGCCTGTTGGCAAGTTCCTGGTTACTTTTATAGATGGATTTATTGCACTTAAACATGTTGATGCAGACTCAATGATGATATGAACAGGCAGTTCGTTAATATTTTTGATTTCATCGTTAATGTTGCTGAAAAGATAAATGTTCTTAGAGTAAAGACTTGCAATTAGAATAAACTCACGAAACCAAAAATAAATTAGTTTAATATTAAACGAAACAGTCCAGTGAAACTTACATATTTAATGAACGAAGAAAATGCAATATAATAGAATCTACTTCTTCCATCGCTACCACTGGTCCCACTGCATTTACTATGTAAGCACTCAACTGATTCAAATAAAGCTTCGTATTCTTCGTATTAATTGCAATGTAATAAATATATCGATTTAGCACAGAAATCCACTTTACTAGTAGTGCTTAAATTCTCTTTGCTTTACCCATCTTATGAATTTACCTTGACGTTGACATTTGACAATAATGTCAGCCCCGAGCACAAGATCCATGGAGAAAATGGTGAAAAAAATGTAGGTATAGAACGAAGCACCTACAGGAGGCCAACAAAGAAAAAAAAATTGTGACTCTCTGTCCCCTGTCACTGTCAACGTTGATTTTGACATTTGAAATAATAGTGGAGCTAGCTGGGCTGCATTATTGGTTATATAATTCAGTTTTCAGTATAAAATCGAAGACCGAAAATGGGGAAGCACTTCGGAGAACTCGCTAAAATCCGTGGATTGATCACCTACAAGCTATCGCCACATGAACAACGTGCTTATGCTGGTGCCATATCTAATGGAATCCCCAACATGTTCCGCAGATTCCGTGAGAGTGTATTTAAGGTTGCCCCACGTAAGTTTTTGATGTTATAATTTAAAATACTTAGTAACAAATGCCAATGCGTCGGTAGATTACCCTTAAATGCTTGAAAGATTTTTTTTAGGATTATGAGACTTATGCAATTTAAGATAATTATATTGCAGATGTTCAATTTATTCGCAAATTATTGAAATCTTTCTCATGTTCAAAATACATCCACATATAATATGAAATCAAAAACAATTATGATGGTTTATCACAGTGAAATGGTTGACCAATATGGAGGCCTAATTCATCATTTCCTTAAACAATATGATTGTACAAAGCTGTGCAATGACTATCATTAACAGTGTACATAGTTTATAATACAGGAATGATTTTTGATGATAATAAATTTATATAATTCCAGCTTTCATCATTGGTTACCTCGTCTATGAAGGTGTAGAACGAGAACACAAGCGCCTGGCACGCAAGAATCCTGCTGATTTTGAAAATGATCAATAAATAAGTGTTCTTATTAAGTAACCAATTATAATTTATGTTTTAGATGTTAAATTAAAAAGTTATTAATCAATTGTTGTGTTAATTTCTGCATAATAATGTATTATCAGGGATTTTGATGTTGTTACAATGTTAATAAATAATAATAGTCAATAGAAGAATGTTATTAGAATATCTAAAAAGCATCTCAAATTTTCTAGAATCATCAATCACAACAAAGTATTTTATCTGTCCAACTAAGAATTCCAATTAATTCAAGGGGAAGGAAAGTTCAATTTCAGTATTTTTCTCATACAAGCTAAGCATGATATAACTAGGACAACTATTTTTCAATACAAATATTTAATACAATATTTTTTACAAAAAAAAACTTTCAAATAGTAAACTAAAGAGCAAAATATAAATTTTATTTCTACAAAGTTATTCATGTTAAATAATATTAATTACTATTTTATGTTCTTGAAAGAATCAGAAGCAATCAAATTTTCTAGAATCATCAATCACAACAAAGTATTTTATCTGTGGAACTAAGAATTCCAATTAATTCAAGGGGAAGGAAAGTTCAATTTCAGTATTTTTCTCATACAAGCTAAGCATGATATAACTAGGACAACTATTTTTCAATACAAATATTTAATACAATATTTTTTACAAAAAAAACTTTCAAATAGTAAACTAAAGAGCAAAATATAAATTTTATTTCTACAAAGTTATTCATGTTAAATAATATTAATTACTATTTTATGTTCTTGAATTTGGTGCCAAGTATAACAAAAAATAGTGTAAAGATATTACCTACATACCTATTGTTAGTTTGATGATTAGTAGGTAGGTACTGATCAATATATTTTTCGAATAGTGTTGTTTTTTGGTATGTAGCATTCACTTGGCACCAACTTCAAGATTATGAAATCCATCATCAGGTATATTACAGACCTTCAATATACATTATCCATTACCAGGAGGATTTTCCAACCGGACACCAAAAAAAAGACGTTACAGATAATATTCTGGCAGCTCTGAACCAGGGTCTGTGTATACTTCACAGACCCTGGTTCCTGGTTCTTACTGGATTTTTCTCGCGCATTTGATGCAATCAATATTCCCCTATTATTATCCAAGTTTAATTATTACGGTTTTGTTCCTGGTGCCGAGCAGTGGTTCCGCAGCTACCTCACGAATAGGAAGCAATTTGTCGATTTGCGGTTGAGTGATGGCACTACTCTAAGATCGTCCTACATGACAATAGAGAGAGGAGGGCTCAGGGCTTCATCTTGAGTCCGGTTATTTTTAGCCTGTACTGTGCAGATATAATTTAATGCCTCCATAAAAGTAAATACCACATATACTTACGCCGGTAATTTATATGTCTTTCCGTCCAGTTGAATACCATGATGCCATTAAGGATCTTAACGATGACCTCCATGCAATTGCCACCTGGTCTGAGGAGCACTGCTTGTCATTGAATCCAAAAAAAACTAATATTTTGTATTTGGCTCAAGACAACAGCTGGCTAAAACTACCTCCGTCATTTAACCCGAGATTAATGGGCGAACACATTGAGGGAGTACATGACGCAAAAAAAAATTGGGACTGATAATGGATAAAGACTTGCGGTTTGAGTTAGTTAGTTCTTTCTAGGCTAAACTACATAGACACAGTGTATGGTCCACGCCTATTAGCACTTACCAATCAGCTCATCCAAAGTGCTTGCGCTCGTTTCTGTTACAACATTCCTCGCAGAACCCATGTAACGCCATACCTGAACGAACATTTTATACTTTACATGAAGTCCAGACGCAAGTTGCATCTAGCTTGCCTTTTGTTTGGTGAAGTTAAACATCAGAAACCGGACTACTTATTTAAAAAACTGAAATGGCTTACGGTCCGGCGGGAATGTGAAAGAGGGCAATGTTCACAGCAACTCACGACCAGGTCATGTGGTACAGCCACTTTTAGAGGCAGCTTTCGCTATGTGGTTTCCAAAGTGTGGAATAATCTACCACCGCCTATCGACCAGGTCATGTGGTACAGCCGCTTTTAGAGGCAGCTTTAGCTATGCGGCTTCCAAAGTGTGGAATAATCTCCCACCGCCTATCAGAATATGTTAAGAAGACGCTTGTGAAAATACCTGATCGCTATCTACTCAGCGAAGGCTTGATATGGTGGTGCAAAATGTCTTAATGTACCCGAGTATTCTATTTATGAATGTGTATGTACACGCAATATAATTTTATCATATTAAATACATTTCGCCTAATTGTTATACCCTATTATTATACCCAATTATTATATGCTTATGTGTTGTGTATTATGGTATAAGTATTTATTATATTACATAAAAAATACATTTATATTTCACACGCTTATAACTGCTTTACGTCAGTTGCGTCACAGGCACAGGTTCAGTTGAAAATCAGCGTCAGGCACTAAATGTCTAGCATTTATGCTGAACTGGACCTTTTTTGGCTGTCGGGCACAACACTGTATTAGTGTATTTAACTTTAGAATGTTTGTATATCCTATCTACATCTTGGTGCCCTTTTTTATTCACAGCAATTTTGTTTGCATTGTATAGTTATATATACGTTCGAATTGAGAACCACCCTCCTTTTTGGAAATCGGTTAAAAATAAATATACTTTCTTTCATAGATCTGCCGACACACTAGTTTTTCGATATTATTTAGCAAACTTTTAGGAAATAAGTACCTAAGTACACACAAAAATACTATGACGTCATAATATCGACACGATTGTCAATTGGATAAAACTTTTGAGATAGGTTTTATAGAAAATGGAACATTAAATGTACACCAGTAGGTACTTACTTATTAGAAGTCTTCCATATGCACAACCCACGTTGACTGCACTTGGGGAAGATTCCATTAAGGACGACAATGCTCGAGAATTAGAAGAATTTATGATCCGTCGTTTAGATAGGCCAGCTCGGAAGTCCTGCCTGACCTCAATTCAATTATCATGTCTGGGATGTTTTAAAAAGACGGGTAAGATCAGTGCAACCTGCTCCAAAAAACATCAGGGAGATAAAAGATACATTGAAGAAGAGGGGGAACTTATTACCTTAAAACGTTATTAAAAACTGTAACTTGTAACTGTATTTATTTAATGAAAGTATTTAAAAAACTTGTCTTTATTACCGACCACTTCTTGTTGCTTAGGCAAAGAATATAAGAACTAATTGAACAATAAAATAATATGAACTTAAAAGAATATAAAGACAAACAGAGTTTTTATTGTTTTAAAAGCCCACCTACTGTTAAAATGTAGTATATAATTTTACATAAAAAACCCTATCTATTGGGAAAACGCAAACTTCTACACTCTTCTTCTTAAACAATAATATTGTTTCAGTAAAATTATACTTAAGTACTTCTATCATTACATGTACCAGACATCGAGGAATGTACATATCGGTTACCTAACTGCGATCCCAGCCGCCTGCCAAACGTAGGTATTATGGCATACCATACCATCATCCCTTTAATGATTGATGGTACATGGCCCCCCCAGTTCCCGGCACCTCCACTATTCCCTGCTTCGAACGGCAGATGAACCACTTATTTAAAAAAAAAAAAAAAAACGTTTCCCCGCATTAGGACTTTTTCCTGTGTTGTGGGTGCGGTTACAAGCATACAATTTCACATACACATGACACCCAGACCCAGAACAACAATTTGTGGATCACACAAAGTGTTGTTCCGTGCGGGAATCGAACCCGCGACACGTTGCACGGCAGCCAGTTGCCCAGCCACCGCACCAACCGTGCAGTCACAACCAACCCCTACAAACTTTGGCCCTGTTCACACACAACAACCGTCCTTAGGATCGATGAGAAAATTTGTCAAGAAAGAATTAACCAACATGCGTTGGAATATCTTAGGACTGTCTGAAATCTGCAGAGTTACAAGTGAATAAACTGCCCTGCTCTGGTTGAGCGCCCGCGTGTCCTCAGGGAAGTAATCAGCGCTGACCTCTCGCGTCCGGGCTTAGCCGAGTGTAGTGATGCTCGCAAAAAAAGGCGGAGGGCGTGAGGGAATCTTCACGTCCACAGACTTATCTATATTAAATGTGGTCTACTTATTTTCTTACCAATCTG